GGTTTCCATTTTCCCAGTTGGACCAGTTTTTAACAGGCTACATTTTCTTTTCATTCTTGATTACATGTTTTGAGGCAGCTGGAGATCATTTGTGAGTGATTTGGTCAAAACACTCTATTTCTGGTCCATGATGATATCTTGAGCCAGAATAACATGTCTCTTTCAGTGAGAGCTGGTATATTAAAGTGGCAGAGAGTACTGTTGCCCCTGTCTCCCTGTTGGCTACAAAGGCTAGGAGCCCACACTTTCTCCTCTAGCAGAATATCCAGTAGGATCTCATGGAGGGCTACTGAAGCAACATAAAATAGCATTCTCAGTTCATTTAAATGTTGAATATTAAAGCACTGTAACTTAGTGTTACTGTAAGGAAGAAGGATGGGAACAGAATCAGAATTAGATGGCACCACCGTTGGTTGACTTCAGTTTCTCTTGCTTTGGCCATCTTAGCCCTACCATTCAAAATGGAGACCAGCCTCAGTGGTCTCCTTTGTATGTCTTATTTTTGCTCCTGGAGACCAGCCTCAGTGGTCTCCTTTGTACAACGTCTTATTTTTGCTCTTTGCTTAAATTACATGAACTTTGACTTCTTCAGTACCCTTCTAAGATACTGTACATACAAGTGAAAGTAGGGAGATGGTGGGCTCCGACTCTTAAATTACATGAACTTTGACTTCTTCAGCACCCTTCTAAGATACATACAAGAGAAAGTAGGGAGATGGTGGGCTCTGACGGCCTGTCAGAAGTAGCTTCCATTGTATTCTCTCTGCCTTATCTTTGAACAAGGTTTTTTGGAGATTCGGTCTTTAAGGATGCTCTTTGTCTTGCTTTTAAAATTTTTCTCCAGAGATCTGATGAAACTCAGCAGTCCTCGACAGCAGCAGAGTGCTCCAAACTTTGCGAAAGTTTTAGTAGGAAGTCTCTTTTGTGAGGAAAACCTTTGGTGATAGATGAGCACATTTCCTCTGGTGGTGGTTCCTGTAGTGATTTTAAGGGATTTGATAATTGGTTTCAGTATGGTTGCTAGCTTTAAATCTTTAGGATACATGATAGGTTTGAAATGAACGATATACAGTATTCCTCTGTTTTATGTTATTCTGGTATCAGCAATTGAAAGGGGGCATCTCTAAGCCTGTGGTGAGTGCATTATATTGCCTTTAGATTTCTAGATACCGTTCCTTCAGATTCCAACATTTCATTATCGTAAAATTTGCTTCTGCGTTTCTTTTTCAGAAGCTCACGTGTTCTTGGGAGAATGTACAGTAAGATGGTTTTAAAAATATGTACTATCAGTCTTTCTTGCGAAAACATGTTTTCATCAGTAGATGCTTTATCTGTGAGATCTCCACCCTCCCCTCCGGATTAACGGGTTTATGTGTTCTCATGATCTAAGGAATTAATGCAGTTACAAAATAATTGTGCCTTTTCCTCAGGGTCATCCAATTTTGTTTATGCTTGCTAAGTATAATCTTTTGTTTTTGGTGCACAGAGCAAATGGCTGTGCTATTTTAAAACTATGTCTTTGATAGATAGGTTCTGGTGGAAGAGACAATAGTATTGATATGAGAAGATCCCTACGGGAATCACATGCTAAAAAATAAGGAAGGCTCTGGGATTCTATAGTATTTGACAGTCAGAAACCATGACAATGCAGACTTTTGCCAAGTTTGCCAGCTGTTACTTCCAAATTTGTCTAGTGTTACTTATACCCTCCACAATTATCCTGACTCTCTATACTCAGCACTGAGGCCACAGAGAAGACACTACTGTATCTATTTCAGACCTGCATTTTTAGCAGAATAAAAGCCCAAAGCCTTCTCATCAGATACCTTCTAGCAAGGATCTGTGTTTTGTTTTCTCCTCCCCGCCCCCAGATTTGTCACCAACGTTCATTCTAATTTTTAGACTCACTGGGTGGGGCTCTGCCCGTCACATGTGCGACTTTGCCCCTGCGCATGTGTGACCCCCACCTCCCCACACAGGGCTCTGTCATGACCGGAACTAACGGGGCTGAAAATGATGGCTGTGGGTGCGTGAAGAAGGAGCCCTGCGCAGAGGGGGGCAGAATTGTGCATGCGTATGCAGGTGCACACCTTAGAGAGAACCTTATTTCTCAAAGAAAATGACTGTGGGTGATGAAGACTAGGGACCTTTTGCTGACATTGTCATTTAGGAAAAAGAAGGCTACTGCTACATTTTAAGACTGGTGTTTTCTATGGGAGACATACAAAATAAATTGGAAGAAATGCATGGACGTCCTTAAACACCTTGATATGAATGTCTGGGGACTTGGACCAGACAGATTTATCTGCATGTGGATGTTTAAACATACATATTTTATTTCCTGCCTTGTATTATTGGAAGACAGCAACACAAGGCCAATGTTACTTTTCTGCAGCAGTAGTGATGAGCAGTTTTACGTGGTTAACATTCTCCTTGCCTATCAGCTGTTGGGCCAGATACAAGGTTTTGGCATGTACAGTGCCAAAAGAAGGCAACAAGGATGAATTATTTTATGGTTAGGCAAGCTAGTTGTTAACTTGGCCTGTGAACTTTATGAGTGAGGATCTGAATCTGGGTCTTCTGGAAACTAAACAACAACAACAACTGTTTGGAAGAAGTCCACCAGTGACATGTAAATCTTTTGGAGCTGTGTTTTTAAGTTGAGGGCGTTGAACAAAGGGAGCTGGACAAAGGGAGCCCAGTCCAGTTTCTGATTGCCAGATATTGATTACTGATGTTTTTTTTTCTTTGTAAGTCTCTCTCTTTCTCTAGGTCTGTAGTTTTGATGATTGTTGACAAATTCCGTATATAAAATGTTTGCAACAGCATAAAATGCTATGGGAAACATGCAATATTGTCTGCCTCCCATACTTGGGAGCCTAGCTACTAGAAAGGTCCAGTGGAGTCTGGGAGATGAATGAAGGCTGTGATGCTAATCTGTTTTCTTGTTAGCCTTTTTGAGAGGGAACTTTGAAGAAGCAAGGCTTAGAAGGAAGTCCTAGTTAAGGAATACTCAGACTAAGATGTGATGGCGTGAATCAAAGCACGTATAAGGGGAAGGGGATGTAAAACATGGACAAGGATTAGCTCTTCACATGTTTGAGGGAAAGTGACGAGAGAAGAAAGAGAAACCAAATTGTGCTATTGTGTGTGTGGATAAAGTGATACAAAGCTGCTCTTTTGAATGAGTCAGATACCAAGTAGCAGTAATTCTGACTTCTAGTTCCTTGCAATTCCACTCCTAAATTTAGCTTTAATGGAAAAATTCAACCTTTATTTGTTTTTAGGCTTCCCAGAACTGTTGTAAGTATAGATAATTTTGGAGACTTTGATGGCAAATTGCTATTTGCTCTTATTCTCTCTACCATTCCTGTCCTGTGGGCAATCCTGTCTTTTGTAGAGGTGGAGGCATGCTACTGCAAAGGTTAGAAGCCTTTTCACTCAGATTCTTCAGTATAATAGAGCAGTGGTTCTTAACCTTGGGTTACTCAGGTGTTTTTGGACTGCAACTCCCAGAAGCCTTCACCACTAGCTGTGCTGGCTGGGGTTTCTGGGAGTTGCAGTTCAAAAACACCTCAGTAACCCAAGGTTAAGAACCACTGTAATAGAGTATGTGCAGAAGAAATATATGATCTCAACACCTACCTTTATTGGATCATATTCTTTATGTGCAAAAAAAATCTATATAAACATAGAAAAACAATAACAAACGCTTGAACAGATAACCATGCAGGTAAAGGATGGGGGAACAGATGACCCGGCTGACTTATACGTGTGTGTGCAATCTCCTGCACTTTTCCAATATGGATTCTTCTATGTGGAAGATGCAGCTACTCGTTAAGGATTAAAACTGAATGGAAGCATAACTCACCTCAGTTGAAAATTGTTTGTGCCTGCTTTCCTTTCTTTGTAATCCTGTATGTAGTCCTGATGGCTAATGTACAATACTCCTTGACAGGGAATGCTGAGGTCTCTTCATCCTTAAGAACTTCTAAGCATTGCTGTGCTACTAGTGGTGGTCTATTTCCCTTGGGTATGTTGTGGAATCATTTATTGAATCACTTACTACATTCTCAGGTGCTCTGCGGTAACTTAGCACCAGCAACATGCCTTTCACTTTGAGATCCCACATCTGCTTTTTTCTTTAAAATGTAATGATCCAGTAGTTGTTTTTATGTTATCAGAAGAACATGGAAGAACATTTCTTTTAAAATTCTGCTTTTCATGATTATGTGAGCTACCATCACGCATTCCAGCAGAGAGTTTGATGCTTTCTATATGTGCCAGTTTAAACTCTGGGTGGAAATGTTTGCAACTGTGTAGCCTATGTAAGCAGTCTTGTGTAAACAGACTGGATAAGACAGTGGACGTCTTGTGTGGTATAGTAGTGACCATGTAGCATTGCCACAGATAGTCTCAATAAGTTGCCTTGGAGATAAAAATGTGACACAGAGTGGAAGTGCAGTTCAATAAGCTTGGCAATGCTAGCTTAGTGGAACAGTTCTAAGTTTGATAGAAGCATAGCTTTCTTTTCTGATAGAACTCTTTCTTCTTGCTACTCCCTTTGTCCTTACCTTCCTGCTTTGGTGAAAAGAGCAAAAACTTAATTTGCAGTTAAATAACGTTTCTTTATACAGGGGAGGAAATGGAGCAGAATTAGAACAGATCTGCTCATTTAGCTCAGACGGTACTGAAGAATTGTGTTGCTTTTTAGAATGCAAAAGGAGATAAATGTGTAATTATTAATGTGATAGAAACTCAGAAAAACTTCCCTAAATATGCAAAAGCAGCACATCAGAATGAAGGGTTACTGCTCAGACGTTTCTGTGCTGCTAATCTATGTAGAGATAAGTTATATGATACCTGCCAGGTATGCCAACAGCCTTAAATGGTAAATGACCAGGAGAACTATACCATGTTCTTTTACCTGAACACGTATCGTAATCCTTCAAATTATTGTTATGTGTGTTTTCTCAATTTATAAAATTCTTGTTCTGTAGGTGTGTCGTCGTGCTGTTCAACCCCAGGAAAAATAAGCAACATCATATTCTCAATAGTTCCAGGTGAGTAAAACCCAGAACTCTCAAGTGCTGGCTTGCACTACTTTATAGGTATAGAAAATGTACAGTCTTCTGATAACTTCAGCAGTTAGTGAATTCTTCCTCATTAAGAAAGATTTTATGAAAACCATTGCACTTCTTTCTTATAATCTGCAGTTAATATCTGAGCATACAGTGAAAATCCTGAATTTAAAACTTTGATATTTCAGTTCTTTATGCAAATAAGTAATTAAATAAATCAGTTAATTCAACTACTATATTAAGTTCCTCAGTGAAGGAGATGGACCTCCGGGGTTGATTTATTTATTTTTTTGAAGAGTTAACTATATAGAAATACCAGTGCTAATTAGAGATGGGCATGTTTACCAGCCCCATAGCTGTTCCACAGTTTGGCACCCTGTCCCTTCCTGTGGGCACCCAGTCAGAGGCAGTGCCCGGAGGAGGTGGGGCGGGGAACCTGGGATGTTGCCTCCGAGTGGGCGCCTGCCAGTGGAGTTGGGTGTTGAACTGGAGAGCACCTGCGGAGTCAGTAAATGAACCAGTGATTCATGTCCATCTCTAGTGCTAATTCTGAAATACTGATAAGTTTGTATTTGATTTCATTACTGTATTTTTAATTTTGAAAGGCTACATCTGAAAGACCATAATTGCCTGCCCCTGATCCAGGCAAGTAGAAATGCAGTGTTTGGCATTCTCCTTGGGATAGCAGAGGATGCAGAAATGATGCTGATAAATCAATCTGAGAAAGACTGGCTCACCATTTTTCTCTCTTACCCATTCCTAATTTTCATTTGTGTTTGGACTTAGAAAATAAATTTGGTGCCTGCACTGTTTCAGAATATGCTCTTCTTTTCTTATACAGGAAGACTATCACAGCCCTTGCGTTCTCTCCTGATGGGAAATACCTGGTTACTGGAGAAGTAAGTGCTGGTGGCAATTGGGGGTGGGGGAGGAGGCGAATAAATACAAGTTCAATCACACCTAGCATGTCCTTTTGGGAAGTTGAGTGTGCAGTAAAGTGTGTGTGCGTCCGCGCATGACAGAGAGAGTGAGTTTGCTAGCAGTATAAAATGGGAGCGATCTGATGTAGGGATCACATTTGCTGAGAGAGCTTGCCTTCTTTGAAATGACTAGTCTGCTGCAGGAGAAAACACGGGGTTCTGAGGAATTGTCATGTGTTTTAGGACTCATCTCTAGCTTTTACCAAGGGAGAACAACTTTTCTTTCAGCCTTTTCTGATTTGCTTTCTGTGAAAAGAGTTTTTATTCACAGGCTGTACCATCACAACAGTCATTTTATGAGTGGCCCATTCTTTTCTATAATGGTGTCCACAAACCTTTGCTCAGAATTTAAAATATGCACATAGTACTCCCAAAGGTTGGCGATCTCAGAACCACACTGGGAGGGGATTCTAGAAATTATAAAAAAAATATACTGAAAAAAAAACCAGTCAGACCTATGAGCAGCTGTCATGTGTGGTTGGGGGCGAAGAAGAGGCATAGCTTAGTAATGAATCGTATGCTTTGCTTATAGGTCAAGTTCCTTGGCTCACCAGCTAAACGGTCTTGGTAAATGTGACTGGGGTACTAGAGATCTGTTGCAAACCAGAATTTAACTGAGACAATATGATAGTATGATTGGATAAAGATTTTATTTTTCTCAAGAGTAGAAAATCACACGTTGACATATATTAAAAATCCATAATTGATGAATTGGTGTTTGGAGGTAGCAGTGGGTTAGAAAAGGGCTAATAAGTTGAAGCCACTGGCTTATGTGACACCTTTAAAAAAGTCTTACAAAACTGGTTGAGAATGCTAGTGGGTGCTCATGTACAGGATTTGGATGACACCTCCCCTGATATGGCTGTCCAGTGACTCCCACAATGTTTCTGAGCACAATTCAAAATGCTAGTGATGACTGAAAGAGTTTTAATCCTTAAATACATTGGGCCCAGGACACTGGAGGGGCACTCTGAGATTTGGATAGGGCAGCCTTTCCTTGTGTCTCAAAGTCTTCTCAGTAACTGCATCTGCATTGTGGAGTTATTTTCTCCATGAGGCTAGATTGGCATCCTGTTTCACAGCATTTTGCCATATGGAAAAGGCTTGTTTTGTTTAAGAAAAATATAACATGCTGCTTATTTCTGTTTATTATTTCATTTTTGCTATTTGGGATTTTTATTGCCCTTTGTCACTGGTTTTAATTGTTATTAGCTGCCTTTCTATAAGCACTAGAAAGTTAAGGATAAAAGTCAAGGATGAAGCCCGTAAATAAACATTCTTAAAATGTCCATAGTTTTACAATAACTCTCCATCTCTGTGTGTACCGTGATTTGGAGCATTTAAGGAGGAAACTACCATTATCTCAGGGCTCTTCCAGATGGGGCAAAAGTGGTGGTCCCAGCTGGGATAGAGTGGGTTGCTATTCACCTTGAGGGGAGTGAGAAGCGTGCTGGAATTTATGAAGGCTGAAGCCAGTTTTCCAAAAATGCTTCCTTTTAGACATCCTCGCTGAAGCTTCTTCTCTGGAGCTTTCCCCACCTCCACCAACAGACCTCTCCCAAATGCTACTTGATAAAAAGGTAGCATTTGGAAGAGGGTCTGATGGTGGAAATAAACACCACAGAAAAGATAGGAAGTTCCGTAGCACTGAACTTTCTACCCTCTGGTAGTAGAACTGATTAACTGCGAAAGTGTCAGAGAGAGAAAAATGACTGGGAAGGCATGGATTTCCCCCCACCCTACCCTAACAATTGTTATAGCGTGTGAGTGGTGAGGAAAAGACCAAAATAATTGCTGGCAAACGTATTACTTTTACAGGAGATTCTTGTTACTGAGCTGCACCTTGGATTTCACCCCCTTGGGATGGAAAGATGACAAATCGAACAGACTGGTTTAGTCAGTTCCCTACACCCCATGCCCCCCCCCCCGAAAAGCAAAGTACAGTATTATTTGAAAAATCCCCAGAGAACAGTGACAACGATGCTGGTGCCTGTCAGATTGGCAGGATTTAGTTTAGATGGTGGCAAAATGTTTTCCCCTTTTGAAAGATGCATAAAGGGAGGACAAAGATGACTGCATTCAGTTTCTAATGCAGACCAGGCACACAATACTCATACTGTATGTATTATGAAGCCTGAATTGCTGGATGCCTGAAGCCCACAAAAATGTTGACAGTCTCCTTCTTGTCCCTGTTGGATGACTGCCCTATATCTCCCATGAGGCTGATCATTATTGGGCTCTGTACACAAAGAGTTCTTTTTATTTCTCCCAAATGCCTTGGATTTTAATATTAAATCTAAGGGGGTGGGAAGAATTACTCCCTCTATACAAGCAATACATATTTTCTGGACGTGTACCACTGGCTAGCCTCAATGTCAGTCTTAAGGACATTTGATCTGCCTGTCTGCGGCCAGGTTAACACAAAAAAATCTGTTTTGGAGATGGCATACTGGACTAAATCCAAGCATGGGCAGCTAGATGGCTATGATGGCTTGAGTCAGGATAAGGTGAATACGGATGGCCCTCTCCCATTATCTCTGTCCAATACCTGACCCCCTGAATTATATTGCTATGGGATTGTAGAGTTTCCACTCTAGTTCTGCTTCTGGCCTCTGAATTTGTTTGATCTTCAGATATTTGAAAGCTCTTCACATAATTGAAAGCTACTGTTACATCTCCATTTATTCGTCCTTTCTCCCAGGCAGAACACACCTAGCCTTTTCAACCATTCAAGTTCCATTTTAGTTGCCATGTTGAACAACCACCGGTAGAAGTGACTATGTAATTGTCTGATCCCATTTTAGCCATGCCCCCCCCCCCGAAAAGTATTCCACCTATGCGAGTGAGAAATATTCCATCTTGTTAGCAGACAGTGGGATGAGTTGGCTATGCAAGAGTTTATGACAACCAAGGAGAAAAGAGGCATTCTTATAGACATCTTTAAGCAGCAGTGAAGGCAGGGGCTACCACAGCCAGCACTGTGCAGAAAGAGAGTTAAAAATTAGATAATCACCTTTGGAGACATTGTGCCAAACCAACTGTGCACTTCTATGGTGTACACACTATAACACACCATGCCTCCACTGCTGCCTCCTAGTGCATAAAAGGAAGAACAATAAATCTCCTTTCCTCTCTGTTACTATTTAGGGTGCCAGTGTCCAACCCTCTAATGAATTCCACTATGTAACCTTGCAGTGTTAGCTGTGCTTCTGCTCTCTTCTGTTGAGTCTCAATGGAGAAGAATCTTTTCTCAACGTGCTCCATATTGTTGAAAGTCATATATATTTCTCCTGTTTTCCTGTAATTCTTCTGGCCTTCATGAGACTCAAAGACCTATTTTGTAATATTTTCCTAAAAGAGAAGATTCTCCAAAGGTTGTTGGTTGGTCACTTCTAGGACTCAGCCATATTGCTGGCTCCGAGCACTCTTGGATGTGACCGCGAGGTTTCGGCATGCATGAAGAAACTCTGACCAAAGTGCATTCTGACATTTTATTTGTCCATTATGAATTAATTTTCAGCTCCATTAATATTTAAGCGAAGATGTATATTTCAATGCATTTAAAAAAAAAATTGCTGAATTCAGATTTTAATTTTCTAAATGGAACTGATTTATATGATATGACAAAGGACTATGGGATGCTGACTTAACATGGATCATGGCTGATACCAGCTGCTTAAACACTTCTACCTCCAGTAGGAGTGGCTGAACAAGCAACAAAGCTTTGTTTCTGGGTTTGTTTATCATGATGTCTCAATAAAGCAATATTCCCTAACCTTAGTTTCTGTTTCTTGAAAGAAACAAACCATATATATATATATTCTTGTTCTGGTTTATTGGGAAGTAAACCATAAAATCATGGAGGGAAAGCACTTAAAGAAAGTACCCAAATTCATATGTTGTTGTTACGTATGTGCCATTAAGTCCCCTCTGACTTAGGGTGACTTTATGAATGAGAGATCTCCAAAATGCCCCGTTCTCAACAGCCTTGCTCAACTCTTGCAAATGCAAGTCTTCATACTGTTCAACCGCAGTCTCTTCTGTATCGTTCTTCACAGTTCCACCTTCTCTTTATTTTATCCTGGTCAGAAAGTGTGTTTCCCTGTTGATCATTCAGCATTCCTAATTTAGGCTTTAATTTCCCTTTGGTTTTTTGGATCTTCTGGAAGAGAATTCCTGTTTTTCCCCTTTTGTTTTTCTTCTTTGTTTCTTTGCACAGATCACTGCCATCGTTCTCTTTGTCTTTATGTGGCAGTCACTGAAAAACTGCTTTCAGGTGTCTGACCCTGTTTCTATCACCTTTTACTCCTGCTTCTCAACTGTTAAGTGTTTCTTCCATCATCCATCTAGGTGTTTCTTTTCCTACTCTAAGAATTGTATTTTTGCATTCTTTCCTAATAATGTCTCTGGTTTAAAATCATGGTCAAATGAATTCAGTAATGCAAATCTGTTCCTAATGTGAATTGTAAATTCATCAGAATGTTGTTTAAATTATATTTTGGCACTATGGATCTTTTAGTGTTATTTTTCATCTTTACTATAATGTTGATTATTAATAGTTTATTATCAGTATCACAATCTGTTCCTGGTCTTATTTGGCACAGAGAATTCAGCTTCTCCATCTCTTCCAGAAAAGAGAATTTGTGTTGGGGCTATATAGGTAATAAGCAGAAATCAAGTTGATATACACTAGCTCATTTGGCTAGAGTGCTTGGCTGTGGAGCAAGGGCCCAGGGATTTGAACATTCACTGTGCCTCCTAAGAAGGAGGCCAAGCAAGACCAGTCAAAATTTATGTGCCTGGCAGAGTTACATGCTCTATTGGATGAATGGCCTTGTGGAAGCTGTACATTCCCTAAGTGCCACCAGAAGGAGGGACTTGCAAGCCATTTCTGAGTATGATGGCCAGTGTTCCAGCAA